AAAACAATAGTTTTGCATATAAACAATAGTTTCATACATAAATAATACCTTCATATCCAAACAATGGATTTATATCTAAACAATAATAAGCTTTTTTATCAAAGATTATTCCAAAATAATAACTTTATATTCAAACAATAGCATAGCCTTTAAAGTTTTATCTTTTACCAAAGGCTTTATTTTTTATAGAGGGTTTTAACTTTTGATTAGAAATTTCACCATAATAAGAAATTTGTCTTTATAGAGGTTTTAGGTTTTGCAAGTTCTGTCAGGGGTTTTGTCATTTGAGGTGATAGGTTTCATCTTTGTTATTTTGTAAAAGGGGTTTGTCTAACAACATTACTAGGAATCTCTTTCAGTTTCTTGCCATTGTTAAAAGACAAATTGCAGAACTAAATTATGCTCTTGTAAAAAAAAACAATAGCACTATACATATTACAGAAACTAATTGCAGCTGTGCTGAAAATATTTAGGCACTGATTTTTATGTAAAAATAATGCTGCAAGTTATAATTTATGCCACAATCTAAAACCAAAACTAAAATTCAAAATATATATCACAACCTAAACTAATAGCCGAACTTTGCAATAAATTTTAATATATATGCAGTTATACATATAATTCATACATAACACTTATTATACTATAATATGTATATACAAACTATAAAATACAGTTTGTTCGAGCTATTATTTATAATTATTTATTTAATAATACTTAAATATCAAAGTTATCTACCAAAGTATCAACATCAAATTCCATATTACTATGATCATCTTTGTTAAATTTGTGTTCAACAAATTTAGAATCATCATTATCTAGTGTTAGAGATTGTATAATAAAATTTGATGAATTTAGATCTATTGTATTATCAATGATTAGCGACTCACTCTCAATAGGAGTATTATTTTCTGGTTCTTCTAACATTAGTTGTTCTTCAATTTCATCTATCGCATTTGTATCACTTTCATTATTCTCATCTTTTAATCTCATAGACAATGTTGCATCTAATACCTTTTGTCGCAATTCATCTAATTCTAGATTCAATATAGTATGTGTAAGTTCAGTATCATCATTT